GTTGGGGATGGAGAATAGGATAGGGAAGGGTGAAAAAGAGTTTTGAAAAATATTTTCCTTCAATTGGAGGAAATTAGTTCATGAGGAAAATGTTTTCCAAAACATTTAACCAACCAAGTATGGAAAAATTGAAAAATATTTTACTTCGTGCCAAATACACCCATATACAAACAAAAAATCCACAAGAGAACTTTCTTTAGATGCTTTCTGTGTTTCTTTCAAAATACATATTCCTTAACTAATTTCCATTACTTTGTTTATAAACCATTTCTACTCTACAGGGTTCTCTTATACAGTAAAAAAAACTTGAGAAGAACTCCTAAATAAAAATCATGAAGTGTAGGAGTAAAGTTTGGGATTCAAACTTTCAAGAGTTTCTAATTGGGGATAATGAAAGTTTATTATTTGTTATGAGTGAACATACACTCGGATAACATTGTTTTAACCTTTTTTGTGAGGAATGTTTTTTCTCAACCTCCACACCTTCATGTCCATGATCGTGACCTCAGTCAGCTGGAGCAACGCCATATCTCGCCTAATCACCTCTCCCCAATACTTCTTCGACCTGCCTCTACCTCTTTGTCGGCCCTCCAATGCCAGCCTCTCACACCTCCTCACCGAAGCATCAATGTCTCTCCTCTTAACATGTCCAAATCATCTAGGTCTCGTCCCGAATAATTTCATTTCTAATTCTATCTAACCTTGTATTCCCGCACATCTATCTCTAACATATACAATGATCTATTTGTTCTAAGTTTATATTTCTTCTAAATATATAATACATATTTTATCTTAACTTTGTATTTTTTTTATATTTCTTCTTTAGATGCAATGACTATTTGTTTCAAAGGTGTATTTCTCCTTTGAAGGCCAAGTGGTAGAAAAATTGACTGAAACTCTATTATTTTTAACAAATAATTTTTTTTAGCCAAAATAATATATTAACATATGTATTTCCTTTTATTCGTCTTTAGATGGTATGGCTATTTTTTCCAACGGTCTATTTATCCTTTTTCGGGCCAAATCAATAAAAGTTTGGCTAGAACTAATTATTCTTAGTCGGATAAAAATTTTACTTAGCCAAAATTATGGGGTTTCAATTGTACATTTCATTTTTTTTTCTTTGGATATGATGGCTATTTATTTTATTTGTGTATTATTTTAGGATCAATTCTACAAAAAAAAAAAAAAAAAAAAAATAGTTGCAAGAGTTGACCCTTAAAAAAATACACAAATAAATCATCAATAGCAAATATGATGCATTCATAGAATCAAGGTACCAAATACACTTCAGAGAGCATTGGTTCATTTCCGTATTTTTGCTCCTAGTACATGTTATTGTATATTGGCATTATATGGGTTATGTGCATTACACATAGGGTCTATAAAATGTGATACGTACATGTATTCATAATTTTTCATATGCAAACACTATTTTTTAATCGAAAAATTGTTCCCAACTTTTTGGGACAGGTCAATTTTACTTATTTGATTATGACTTACCAATTATTGCACTGTGCATATACAGAAGACGGGAAAAAAGTTCTTAGTTATTCCGTGTACGAAGAACCGCTTAGCAAACTCCAACGCTCCAACTGACTATACTAACGATTGCTCTAACGAAAATGGAATATTCAGTGGCGAAATTAGCTCGTGATAACGCACAACCACTTGTTCCATTGTCCATAGGACCTCGTGGCATACAACCGAAACGACTCCTGCTAGATAGTCGCCCCTTTCTCTCTTTTTACGGCCTCATGGACGGACGAAAGAAGGGAAGTCATAAAACATGGCAATAAAGGCTTGCCAAGTAGACAACAAGCAAGCAAGAGCTTCTCAGCCCCCCTAACCTTTCAGGATTGTTATTTATTGAGAAGAGACGTCCATTTTATCCGTGGAGGCCAATGTTAATTATTTAGTTTATTTTTCCCCTTACTTTGTAACAGATATTATTAGATGGTCCATGACCATTGTGCTTTAAGATGTGGTATACGCTAATATTATCTACTATTCCGCTGATATAAATACTTATGTTTATTTATTATACGTGTACTCCGTTTGAGTTACGTTTATTAAAGTGAGTACTGATTTACTTAATAATAGGTAAAAGTCTGATAAGTGCCGACCATGATCTCTCAAGTCCTCACATGCTAACTATTTCTAGAAACTAATGGACGACATAAAAAAGAATGATAAAGATAACATTTGTTTAGTGGAACTTCACTTGGAAAA